CCAGATAATGGATTATATCATTGACTGGTATCACCCTTACCATTTAAGGTAATCCCACTATTACCATTGTTTCTACTTATACTAAATTAGTATTCCATATACTCAAGACTTTCTTCAACTCAACTTGAAACCCTCGTTCTCCAGAATTTGCTTGTATACTTTCCACTTTGCTTTAACATCTGATCTTGTTTCATCAATCAACATAATATTATCAGTATATCTTCTTGAATCGACTTAGTGAGTTCATCCATGACTATAACAAATATGGAATGACTAAGAGCCGACCCTTGGCGCACTCCAATAGTAATAGGGATTTTTGAAGTTTCCCCTACACTAGTAGGGACACTTATAGCACAATCCCCATACATATCCATGATGATGTTGGTATACTTACATGATATGCCTTTTCTGGCTTAGGCCCACCAAAACTTGCTGAGGTACCCTATCAAATGCCTTTATTAAATCAATGAACATCAGATGTAGACTCTTACTTGTGTCTTTGTACTTCTGCACAAGTTGCATAAGAAGGTGAATGATCTCAGTTGAGCGACTAGGCATAAAATCAAATTGATTCTTCCAACCTTCACACCTATTCAAAGTCTTTGCTCAATCACTCGCCCTCAAAGACTCATAAGCTTAATCTCTCGATAGTTGGCTAACTTGTGATGAATCCCTGATGATCGAACATGACTTGAGAAAAAAATCCATACCGCTTGCATCACCTTCTTTCCCTCCATTGCTTACACTGTCTTTATACCACTCACCGTCCATGATCTCTTCGCCGCCATCGCCCCCACTACATACTACCGCCACCACCAATGCCACTCCCTGCACTTCGTTGCATTTCGGTGTCCCATTCTCCAACTCAGTATCCAGTATGTCTGTCATGCGTCCAGTATGTCATGCGTCACTGACCACCATTACTACACACCATCGTCCCCACCGCGGCACCACCTTTGACCTATTTTCCCTCATTGTCACTCAATGCCCACAATAACATATCCATATTTAGTGCCCACGATCTCCCCAAATGACTAACAACCTTAATCACACATTCCATCTTCACACACCCCTAAATTCACTCCACATACAATCCTCACAAACCTCATTTCCTTTATTAACAAAACTCAATAATATCCATTGCATCTTGTATTAACTATTTGCCACTGCTTCTCCCACATTCACAACGCAAAGCCGTAACCAAAATACACCAAAAAAGGAAGGAAAAGAAGATGAAATCATCAATGTAACAGTCAAACGTGAGAAATATGGCACCGAGATATTCATGGAAGTTGGTTCCTAATCATATCAAAGTTCCACCATGGAGGACATAGAGAGAGAAACAACCATACATGGAATCATTGAGAAAGCGAAGTTGCGAATAGATATTGGATGTTGAGGGACGGGAAAAGAGTTTAGTAGAGAAGATTAAGACTACATTGAAGGAATTGATGATGGTGGCTGCGAAGATAACATTAGAGTATTGGGGTTATAATAATTCAACAAGAGGGCATATTAGTTCATGAAAATAAATTTATTATTGATCTTTAAATAGTACTAGACTTGTACTCCCTCTGCCCCCCTAACAATGGGACACGAGGGAGTGACACGCAAATTAATAAAAAGTGGTTTATTAGGTTGATATTGAATTGATAAAGTAAAAATAAAGTAAGAATGATTTAGAGCCATACAAACTTTACCAAATTTGGTATGGGGCAATCTTAGTGGGACGGACCGAAAAGGTAAAATGGGACAATCATAGAATGAGAGGTAAAACTATGTCTAGGATAAAATATATAGTCATATATATTAAGAAAAGGCCTGTAAGTTACTCCTCCCTCCATCCTGCTAAGATTGTCTCATATTTCCTTTTTGATCTATCCCACTAAGATTGTCACATATCAATTCGGTAAAATTTGTGTGGTTCTAAATCATTCTTACTTTATTTTTACTTTATCAATTCAATATCAATCATACAAACTCACATATCTTAATAACCGCACCACATACTCGTGTCACGATATTAGTCGAACAAAGGTAGTATAACTTATCACTTAGGGTGATAGTATATCATTTCTCAAATTATACAATATTGAAAAATTTTGACATGATTTTGGATATTTAAGGTCAACTCGAGAAAGATGGATTCAACTTGCTCAATGGCCGCCCCCCAACTTTTGAGGAAAGATTTATACTCTTCACACAGGACTTGAATGTGAGAGCCAGACTATAGTTATGCTTTCATAGCTAGTGCTTAACCCATAAATTAGTCGCATCTTACATTACTAGCAGGTGATACATATGGTGCCTGGTCTCTACTCCACAAGTAAAACAACAGTTGCATCTTTAGTACTACTTCCATCCCATGTTTGGGACATGAAGAAGTGGCACAATCTTTAATAATAATGGAGTTATGTGAATGATATTAAACTTGCAAAAAATGAATAAATTTGATTCAAACAAATGTTACCAAATATGGTATGAGACAAACCTAGAGATGGAGGGAGAATGAAAATGGGACTAAGATAGTGAGAACGCCAGACTGGAACCAACAACCTTCGATCTTTTACTCATTCTAATACCATATCAAAATTATATGTTCCACGCTAAAGCATATTAAATTAGGTAATGTTATGCTCCCCTTTTGGCTTATTGCTTATTTTTATTTTTTTTCAAACTCTAACAGAAACATTCACATTCCAGACCAGCCTATGCCAGAAGGAACAAGATATAACTATACAAGTATACAATATTAGAAACATTCAGAAATTTCAGACCAGACCCGTCAGATCTTTAAAAAAATTAAACCATACTCCCTCCATCCCGTAAAATAGTTCCCGCATTGACTTGGATCGCAGTTTAAGAAAGCGGGAATAAAGTGGAAATGTAAGATTGTGGTTGTGTAAGAAAAAGGTAAATGAACGTGAGCCACACAAAACATTCCAAAAGGGGAAATGAGAACTATTTTTTGGGACGGCCCATAAAGGAAACCGGGAACTATTTTGCGGGACGGAGGGAGTATTAAATCACATTTTCTCGGGAACAGAGAAAGGTCTGTAATCCTCATTGTTGGAAACTTTATTACTTTATGTTTTTTCAAATGGTATTATTGTCAATGATTTTTACATTTCTATTAATTTATGAGACTCATGGGTCATCCAGAAACTATGCTTTAGTATAGGGATAAGACTACGTACATCTGACCCCCTACCCCACCGTAGGTGGGAGAGCCTTTGGACACGGGTAATGTTGTTGTTGTTGTACAATTTATGAGACCGTCTGAGCAGCTGAGTTCAAGCTCAGACATTTAATGACTCTGATATCCTTGCTAAATTGCACTGGAATCCTTCAACCTGAGACCCTTACAAGAAAAGTTACTCTACAAGTCTACCTCAAAGTTTTTTTCATAAAGAACTAGTCCAACAACAACAACAACATTCAAGCCTTAGTCCCACAAGATTTTGGGGTCGGCTACCATGAATCGATACATGATATCATAACCAAAAGGAAAAGAAAGATAAGAAAGATAAAAGATAAGCTAAGATAAAAAAAAGATAATATAAAAAGAGATGGATATACATAAAAATGATAGAATAAAAAAGATAAAAAGAATATATATATATAAATAAAGACAAAAGGAAAAAAAACAAGAGAAAGAGAAGATGAAACCTTAGGATTTGCTCTATAAGGAACATGGTTTCAAGTTTTCTTAAATTTCAAGGATTCAAAGTTACAATATTATAGAACAGGTCCTATTCAAGTAAGGTCATTCATAAAGAACTAGTCCAATAAAAGTAAATAAAACCTTAGTAACAAAATGCAGAGAAGTTACAAAATGGGGTACACTAATTACAGGTTTTCAGTTTTGAGTCAGACAAAAAAAAAATAGAATCATTGGATTGCCAGAGATAGATAATATGACGAATAGCTTTAGATTTGGAAATCTATATAAAATTATAAACAAAGTGAGCGCAAAAGCTCAGTTCTGGGCAGCCCGGTGCACAATGGCATTCCCATAAGGCGAGGGTCTGAGGAAGGGTCCCACCACAAGGGTGAAACAGGGGGCAAGCCTTCCCTTGCCATTTTTTACCAGAGGCCGTTCCCAGAGCTTTAACCCTTGACCTCTCAACCACACAACACCATAACCGGTGTGCCAAGGCTCCCCTTCCGGAGAATAATAAGGGTGGAAAATAAAAAAACACCAAGAGTCCTTGCCAGAGTTCTCAATGCATCACAACATTCAATACAATATGAATTATGGTTTTATATTAGCTCATATTGGTAAAATGCTGCTTGAACATATAAAATGCTGCATTAACTCCAAATGCCCACAGCGTCAAACAATCTTATCAACTGTAGGACAGATGATATCTTATTTTCACTAATGTTCCAAGTTTGTTTAAAGATGTTATCCTAAAAAAGGCCAATAGAGATGGACGCATTTACAATACATGCTCTCCCAAAAGCAAAAATATGATGTAAGCATGTCTACTACATCTCCAACTTCAACGTGCCACCATACCAAATTAGCATTAGCTACCAACATAAAAAATAAAAAATGTAGGTCATCGACAATTTTTTTTTAAAATTTGCAATCTTCCATATCCAAAATAGCTTGATCATTATTGAATCATTTCCAAAATGCCTTCGAAACAGTCAAGCAAATCAATTTTTCCAAATTCTTATATGAAATTAATTTTAAAGTTTTACCTCCGCTGAGAACATCCTGCTCATTCATAGCGCTCCTGCTATACTAAAGGAGTAAATTTCTACGGTTTACACGATAACGAGAGGGACGAGGGCGTGATTGCGATCTAATCTATTCCCGGAAAGAGTTTTGAAAAACAATGAAAAACAAAACACGTGTGAACAAAGAAGCCAAAAACCACAACAATAATGTTAGAAACAAATAGCAGGAGAAATACTAATTAAGAGGAGCAAATGATGGAGGCATAGCATATCTCATATTAGTGATTAGAAAAGTGATCGGCAAGACTTACCGACGTAGCAACTACGGCGATACAGGATCGATTCCGGCGGTTGGGTTAAAGGATCGGACGGTTGGAGAATAACCAATATTGCTTTTGGCGGTGGTGGTGGAATTATAATTATACTCCAAGGGGAAATTGTGGCTGTTGTTTGGCGCAAATTATTGTAAATACTCCGCGTATAATACCGAACTACTCCGTAATCCGTAAGAAATACCAGTATTGTAGGGTGCTACGGAGTATAATCTATATTAATATAAAAAGGGAAACCAAAGCCGCAATAACCGTTTAGGGAAACCAAGGCCACAATCAATAACGGTGCCCGTCGATATGATGCAACTCTCATGTTCTCATTAACCGGTGCTGCGAGATTTCTTGGCTTAGTAAATGTACGTTGGGAATTATTTGACCATCACGTTGTTTCCCAATCGATCATTTAATTGCCTTTACTCCTTTACAACAATTACTCCGTATTTGTTACCACACTACGGCCATGCATTATTTGATGTCCTATTCAAATTCATATTGTTTTGGATTCTTTTACAATCACGTTTACACAAGTATGATTTCATCGGTATGTCAATGAGATGAATAATTCCAGCATAAGTGGGTGGGGTTTGATAGCTTTGGTTGTCCACGAGTAATAGAAGTACCATGCAAAAAAAAAATCAAAGGTAGTTTGAGATAGATGTATCTTCATAAATTTACAGGTACACAATTTTCATGGCATGTTGAAGATGAACGGTAGAGCTCACTTCCACGAAGATATCAGATATGTATTAGTTCTACTGTTTATTAACGCCTCTTCACATATACGAAGTATTTTCGAACATGGCCACAAGTTTTTTGAAAATGTGCAACTAAAATTAATGTAGCAAGTACTCCGTATTACAGTATTATTTATTAAAATTAGTTTTTTTTTTTAAACTTTTGTATAGATTTTGTGGATGCTTTTCTTTAAGCCCGGCCCTAACAATAATTATAACCTGCAGGGGCGTACCAGCATAATTAGGAGTGCTAATTTAGGCTATGACTAAATTTTAATTTTGTTTAAATTATTAGTGTAAAAGAGTATGTGTAAAAAGATTTAAAAAAACATTTTTTTGTTCCGACCCAAATAAATATACTCCCTCTGTCCCTATTAAAGTGCCTCTTTCAATTACACACAATTAATAAAATGGTATCGTTTGACACTATTTTGACGCTTTTTAATATTGCTTGACACTGTTTTGCACTATGTTTACCAAATAAGAAAAGATCACTTTTTTAGGGACGATCCAAAAAGGAAAGTGGAATGTTTATTTAGAGACTGGAATAGTATTGCTTTAGTTACACCACTGATTATAAAAATCATGTCCTATTTTATCATTTAATGTGTTTTTTTGTACATAATAAGCAATATTTTTTCACATTAAGTCATATCTAAGACTCTTGATCATTCAAAGTAAGCATATCTTTATAACTACTTCCAATGCAAATAATTAGTTAAAACATACACATCCTCTGTTTAAAAAAACTTGGTCAAATTCATTTTTATCTGTCCCTAAAAATTCTTTTTTGAAGTAGTCTTTCAATCTTTTACATGCATGTCAATCAAATTTGGTCAAGTTTAATAGAATAGAGAGGGTATTATTGTTCCGTGCAACGCACGGGTACGATACTAGTGTTCCTAATAAAATGTACTCCGTATTATCCTTGGTAGTAATGCCATAATGTGGTCATAGTATAGTCATTTTTGGCTTTTTTTGACACCTGGTCTTTTTTGGCTAGAAATTCTTTTTAGTATGGTGGATTGGTGGTTATAGGATGTGGTCTGGTCTGGTCTGGTCTGATTTGATTTGGTGTGGTCTGGTTTCTTTGTATTTTTATAACTATCCAAGTCTGGTCTGGTGAGGTCTGATCTGGTCTGGGACGAATTACAATCCAAATAAAAACATCCATAATATAATCATTTTCAACTTTGTTATAGGTACCCCATTTTGTACCTCATTTTGTACCACACTCTATTTGTGTGGCTCAAAAAAGTCTAACACATAAAATGAATTGCTCCATTTTAATGAAGTGCATTTGTGAGCCACAAACATAGGAGATTGGTACAATATGGGGTAGCAATAGCATTTTTGAATCATTTTTGGCTAGTAATTCTTTTTAGTATCGATAATACGGAGTACAATTTACATCTTTTATCTCATTTTGATTTTCTTATTTTCTTTTTAAATTGTCCTAAAATGAATCTCTTGTTTTCTTTTTAGGCAAAAAAATACGTCATCCATATTATTTTACTTTATTTTTATCCAAAATTCAACCATAAGTTTTATTTTCCAATCATTCTATTGATAATTGTGTCTAGGAGTGAGTAAAAGATGGCAGAGGATCATTATTTTAAGGGAAAACTGTCAAATAGGTCCTCGAACTTTCATAAAAAGGTCAAATAAGTCCTTATATAGGAGGCTTTGTCCGGCGGTCGCGATTTGAGGCGGTTCCCGGTGGAATTTTTTGATGAATTATTTTTAACATCTTATTCATCAAGTCTAGTTTACTCATACTAAATTTCATCTGAATCTTCAATCGGGAACACATTCAAATAAATGCGCAGTTATCTTCAAGAATTAATTTGAATGTGTTCCCGATTGAAGATTCAGATGAAATTTGGTATGAGTAAACTAGACTTGATGAATAAGATGTTAAAAAAAATTCATCAAAAAATTCCACCGGGAACCGTCCCAAATCACGACGGATGGACAAAGCCTCCTATATAAGGACTTATTTGACCTTTTTATGAAAGTTCGAGGACTTATTTGATAGTTTTCTCTTATTTTAATGAACTTATCTCATCCCAAAATGTGGCTCTTTTAAAAATTAAAGAACCGGTAGTGTTCCAACTATTGTCTATATATGGAGCATGTCCCTGTCGTACCAATTTTCAGTATGGTTCGATACGGGTCATTAAATCAATATATTGAGACGCTTAACTTTTAAAGTTCTATTTTTAATTTCTAAAGTGAAACATTAATGGGTTGCCAAAAAAGTGAAACATTAATGGAGTAAAAGTAAGAATTTCATCATAGTTAAATTAACGATCATATGACTATAATATTCAAAGACAAACTGAGATAAATTTGAATAATTGAGAATATTGATCATAATGAATTGAATAATTGTTCGTAAGATTCGATATAGATACTAAATAGGTTGGGCTAAATAAAAGTAGGTTGGACCAATGGTACTTTAGTAGGATAACTATTATATATGCTATATAAAATAACCTGTTCTGCGGGACGGTTCGGAACCCTGCTGTTTGATATGATTCTGTGACAGTTCACTGTGAAGAACCGATATTGTATCATATCATGTACAAAAGTCGGTCCGATCTGGTACGTACGGTACTCTTTCAGTTCTGGAACGAATCAAAACGATTCTTCGGTACGCAATGGAAAATCTTAGATCCGTGCTCAGGCCTAATTGTGTCAAACTAAAACAAGACATCCAATATGGAACAAAGATAGTAGTAATTATTTTTCTGGAAAATGATAAATCATCTTAAAGATGCAGGCATGGCTCGATTGCAATTAGTTTTTTTTAGTTTGGAAAACACAGTATTGTACAACTTGGTTCTAAATCTCGAAATATCAATGTTGTTCTCGTAGTCATGGTTTGGGTGGTTACCCCCCCCCCCCCCCAAAGAATTAGAGTGTAGAACATTGAAATATCTTTCACTTTATATATTACTAGTGTAGCACTCGTGGGTCCTGACATTCTACACAAGTGAGAGAAACTTCCATATGTATCAAGCAAAATTAACACAAGTATTTAAGAAACAATGAAATAATGTAGTTATGTGTATTAATTAGAAGACAACGTAATTGAAGTTGAGATGCTTGTAAAAGCTAATAGGAAGCAACTTGTAGTTTTTATAAATGTTCACTGTTAGATGTTTTGGAAGACTTAAACACCACATTTGTGGTGGTATCTAATGTTTTTTTTTTTGCCTTTTCGTGTATCAAGATCTTTGACCCTTTTTTTCTTTGAACCCTTGACAAAGCAACATATAATTGCACATGACTAAAAATAGGTATTGGCAAATATACACCAACGTTTGCTAGTGATTGCTCTTGAGATTTGTTGATAGTCATGGCATATGATTGAGAAGGATACATACACATGCAAGGAATATAAATCTCATTCCTAATGCTGCTAGCAGACAATGTTTTTGCGCCAATAACATGATTTCCTAATCGTGTGACAATTAATTTTGTCCCATTGCACAACTCTTCAGAGTGATATATGTTTCTTAACAACATGATTGGAGTTCCTCTATTAAGTTTTATCTATGGATTAGGAAGTTTGGATGTTCTCGGGGAATGTAAAAACTCAAGTGTCAGCGCTTCAAATGCATATGCATCAACAACATCTGATTTGTCTATAGATTCGGAACTCAAATACTCTCTTTCTTTGCCTAAAATAAAAAATGGTGTGAACACCAAGTAAAAAATGGGAATGCAATTATCTATGTTGGAGTAAAGAAATAAGTTTATAATATGATGGTATACCTGATATGATCAACAATTTCGATGCTAAAAATGCCCTACACTTTAGATATTCCTTATTTTTGAATTGTTGTAGTAGGTTAGGGTATGTACTGTCAAAAATGCCATGAACTGGGTCATCATAGTCTGTTATCAAGAATTCATTTGAGATTTGTATGGTCGCATAACCTATGTGGTTCAGATATTTTCTCATCTCCTACATCTAGTAGCTAGCCACTTTGAGAAGTCTTGAGCCTCTTTAATATTTGTAGTACTCTTACTACTATGAAGACACATATTTTTTGTTAAACATAATACCTGAACACAAAAGAATATGCAAATGTAAATGTTTGTTGTAATATGATACTAAATTATTAGGTATTAGATTTTGTGCTAGTTTATGTGTATACATTGTTGGTTTAAATGAGTTTGGTTTAAAAGATGCGATTGATGGAAATGAATGACAAACCTGACTAAGGGAGTGTTTGGGTTTACTTAAAAAAAAAACACTTTTCAACTTTTGGCTTAAAAAAAGTTGAAAAGAGTGTTTTCAAATGACAGCTTCTGCTTAAATTAATCACTTAAAAGCTAAAAGTTGGAAGCAGGTAGAAGGGTGCTTTAAACTGCTTCTCACTTTTTCTATTACACAAAAAGTACTTATTTTACCAAACACTACCAACTTTTACTTTTCCAGAATCGCTTTTTTCTCAAACACTACCAACTTTTACTATTAATCACTTTTCCCAAAATCACTTTAAAAAATCACTTTTTTAAAGTTGAAGCAATTGCAAACACTCCATAAGAGGAAGTCCTTTTTCTCAAACACTACCAACTATTCATGATGTCTTTTAAGCTATTGTCCAATGCCTCAAAAGTAATACCTATGAGTCATGGTTGCTTCATCCCATATTATCAAACTTGTTTGTTTCATCAACTCTGCAAGTTCACTTCCTCGATGAATATTGCAAGTGGAGTGTTCTAGTGTTGTCGGTTCGGTGTGGCATAGCTCAGGTCTGGAAGGGAGCATGGCATTTGGCGAACGGGTGCCTTGGGGCGAACCGGTGGCAAGGCAGTTGAAGGCTTCGGGTGAACAAGTGCTTTGGGCGAACCGGAGGCCGCGGCATTGGCGGTTACCGACTGCCACACGCGAAGAGACGCGTCCCTTCAGGCTAGGCAGTTGGTTTGTAATTGCCAGAACGAGTATGACCAATTTTGAGTGAGTTGTTCTTCCACCGAGTAGCAGAAGCTAATGTTCGCCATACATATGTTTTTCATTACGAAATTTGTTTATGGTGATGTTCTTACACAATGCCGCTTGATGCAATAGTTAAAACAATATGGCGTTTTGAACGAATAGCAGAAGCTAATGTTCACCATTACATGGGTTTTCCTGTTCCTCCATACCCATATATGAAGTAGATCCCACCTTTCTGGTCATTGACATCTTTCATGATAGTGTCAAACATAATTTTTTGCTCATCTTCATTTAAATAAATGTTAGGAATAACATTTGAGGTGAATATTATTACACAATAACACAGCGTAAGATATAATTGATGTGAATAACGATAATTTTGCTTGTGAGAGATGCAAACAAACTCTCAAACTCTTATTATTTTAAGTATTATAATTATAATACTTTAGTATTTTCATACTAAAGTTAATAAATAAATAAATAAAACATAACATACTAATACATAAAGTTATTACTTGTAATTCTTTAATAAAAAAGATACACACTAATGCATACCTCTTGTGTAAGTGATACTAATCGAGAAAGAGAGATACCTTAAAACTAACCAATACCCATTTTGGCCATTTATACATGATGATAAAGTGTGTATTGGGCTCTATAGGCAAAAACAAATATTTATTATTATTAACATTATTATATCATTATCATATATAATATGCTTTTATACTTTCAGTAGTTCAAGAGACTTTTTTATGACATAATTTCTAGTCTAATCTACGAGCTTTTTGTGTGAGAGAAAGAGAAACAGAGTGTTATACACCTCTACAAGAATCAATACTTTATTGAATAAAAGTAATAACTTTCTACGAGAAACCTTGATTTTTTTTCTAAAAAGTGAAGATATATTTTGCTTTTAATTAAGTTTGTGCATTTTGTTTTACATTCCATATACATATCCTGTTATTTTAACAAAATTTATAATGTTGTGTGTATCGTACTAGGCGGGTCTACCCAACCCAAATCCGAGACCCATTGGGTCCAGGTCCAAATTTTCATAGCCGTTAGGTATACCATATACGGGTCGAGTCTGAGTCCTTTATTAACTTAGTCAGTCCGGGTCTGGAACAATACATTCTTGCCCGTACCCGGCCCATTGATAGGCCTAACGAGCATATGTATAATAGAGCTTATTTTTTAATGATTATTTTCTTTTCATTTTTATTTGTTAAAATTTGTTTACTTATTAAAGATGGGCTTTCGGAGTTCGGACAGCAAAATTCTTTTTGAGAATGTTCACTTTCACCAATGGTGAACTCGAAATAATAGAGCCATGAGTGATGAGGTCCTTCACAAAACCTGTAAGGTGTGCACCATGTCTTGAACACTAAGATGAAAAATAAGCATTTTCCCCCAATCTTGAATCAACTTTCAAAAATTTGAATGAACTTTCAAAAATTCAAAATCTTACTCAGGTAGATTATAGGTCAAACTAATTTCACATCCAACAATTATTTGATCCAATTCTTCATTTAATAATAGTGAATCATTATTAAAATCAAATGTAGATTATTTGACTTTGACCTGCCAAACAGATATGGAACAAGACATATTTACATACACTACTACTTGAATAATAATAATATAATAATAATAATTTAAAATTTAAAATACAATACTAAGATAACAACTGAAATGATGTCATTTATATATACATGCATGAAGTGGGCCTTCCATATATTGACCATAATCTACAGCAAGGCCGAAAGAGAGAGGAAGAAAGAAATGAAGAAAATTACACAAAGAATTACTCGTAATTAAGTTGACCTATAAATTAGGTGCTTCTTCCTTGAATGCAATCCTCCGCCCACGGTCCTTGTTTTCGTCTCGTAGAGTCGTAGTAGTAAAAGGACAAGAACAAATGTGCCCATAAAAAGTGAAGAGGGGACATACCAGCAAATATCAAGGGAAATAAATATTTGTGTTGGTCCTCCCGATGGCTACACACGAAGGAATCATAAGAACGTCGATTGTGCTTATCTCCATTTCACTCGACAAGCTTAGCACAACCAACGATTCTTACGATTCTTTCGTGACGTAAACAATCGGGAAGGAGCGACGTGAATATATCTATATTCCTATAGATATATTCATTTAAATTTGGAATGGATAACCATCATAGAGCATGTCCACGGGCCAACAAAGAATCCCACAAAAGATATGACTGACCCTTCTTTTTGTTTTTTATTGATGAATGTTTTTTTTTAATCTTCAATCTAGCTCGGACCACCACCACTCTTTCACTTGTAAAAGTGATGATTTTTACCTCACTTCACTATGTTTTAGCGTTACTTTGCCCTTTTGTTTTGTTCCTTTTGGGTTCACACGTTTTCCCACCTGCACAAGAAAAGAGTTACAAAGACATAAGCTTTTCAAAAGGTGGATGGAAATGTGAATTCAAATCTTGGTATGATGTCTACTTTAATTAACTGTGATCATTAAAAGTACACAGCATGATTAATTACAACCTGTTTTACTCACTGAATTCTAATCCATCCCCTAGTTTTTCTCTAAACACAACTTGTCGTCCCCGTTCAAGCCCAACTGTACTAAATGTTGGGCTCTCCGGGAGGCGAGTTAGCAGAAAACAATATCATCAAAGATAATCAGGATGTTATCTTCTTGAGAACTAGTCAAATCTCGATCTGGAACACCTTGATCATAATAAAATAGCTAAGATATTTATACTAGTTGCCATCGACTTGTTCTATTAATCAGCTCAGCTCACATGTAGTATTAGTTCCTTTCTAATGAAAAGGTAAACAACATAGTTCTCACTATTGATTAGAGCAAAATTTATCATTGTCCAATGAAAAGCAAATATTTCAATGTGCTGATTATTTTTTAAATTTATATATACACTTACAAAATCTATGATAAATAATATTTCAATGTATATGTATTAAAATAAATCGTTCAAGAGTATTTTCATGTAATAATGCAAATTAAACTTTTGATTGAATTCCCAAAGTAGGAGTAAAGCATACTCAAAATGCAAAAATAGGAGTCATTGTTTAAGATTGGATAAAAACACCCTTGTAGGGATTCAAGCTTGATCACTAGATTGCCGCCACTAGGGGTGGGCAAATGGGTCTTGGAACCGCGGTACGGTCCGGGTAATGGCGGTTCGGGTCCAAAACGGGCCGGTTCCATTTTTTGTTGCCATAAAACGGTCCGGGTAGGGTCGGGTAATTTTTTTTTAAGGAACCGGACCGGTTCCAAAATTAAAAAATAACGGATACCCGGCCCGGCCCGTTATATCTATTGTATATTAATTTATTAGTAGTTTTGTGATAATCGGTTTTGAAATAGTTTTGTTTCCTTTGCTAGAAGTAGTATTTTAAATTGAGTTGCAGTAACATCCTTTTATTTTCAAATTATTGATTAAATGTTTCATAAATATCTTATTACTTTTTATTGTTATTGAATTATTCCTTTCTATGGAATTTAATTATTTGTTAAAGATGATTTTGTTATATATTTTTTATTATATTGTTATTAAAATATATAAATTGTGTTTACCACCCACCATGTATGTGTCAACTTTGGCTAGTACTGAAAATTTAATATAAAAAAAGCAATTACTTTAATATGTGATGTTAGACAACATGTTTAAATACAAATGTTAGAAAATATGTATTTTGGCTATGTTGCATATTTTTGAAATATCTTTAATTGTTTGAAACTTATATACAATAAATTATGGAGTATTGGACTTTTCGCTTGTGTTGTATGTGCACCACTATGTTGTTATTTTGAAACTTGCTAATGTCCTATATTATTGATTATTGATTTTTGGAACTTCGTGAGTTTTTACTAATTTCAAGACATGAGAATAGAAACCGTAAAACCCGGACCGGACCGACCCGTTTCAAACGGGCCGGGTAATTTCCGGTTCCTATTTTGAAAATTGTAATACCCGGACCGGACCGAACCGTACAATGGAACCGGCGGTTCCATTTTATTTTGCATTATCCGACCCGGCCCGTGCCTAGCCCTAGCCGCCACCACTGGTTTGCCCTGGTTATGCCGACAGAACTTTGGGCAACTAGTTATATTAATGGCAATTAGTTATATTAATGGTAGAAATGTAATATTTAGTCATATTTAAGGAATATAAAACATAGCCTACTATTTAGTAGCTTTAACCATATTTTAGCCCTATTTAGGGCGATTTCTCTAAAACTTTTTATTATAAAGCAAAGTTACAACCCCATTTAGGATGGGGTGTAAATGATAAAGACAAGCTTACCATTCATAACGGATAGTGGATGTGTTCTTTTGTTCAATTATAATGTCAGGTCACTCTCAAATTGGTACACAATTGTTTGTAGTGTAAGAAGCCAAAGTTATAGCGGGCCATTATTCCAACACTTTCCTCATAAAGTTGGTCCATAAAAACACCACCCCTTTTTATCCGTCCTCTCTTCTCAACTTTCATACACGCCTGTCCTATGTGCCTAAAAAGGGACAACCTAGTTATTTTTACAGCATATATATTTCCATCTCCAACATTCTTTTCTTTTATATCCCTCAATTGTATACTAGTGCCTATCCTGCCCCAAACCTCGCTAGTCCCGTTCTCGAGAACTAAAAGATACTACCTCCGTCCCAACCGACTTTGCGGTTTTCAAATTACCATGGTTGACCGAGTTGTAATTTTTATTCTAAAAAGATTCAATTTTGATGAGATTTTTTTGTACATGAAAATAATGAGATATAGATTTTATAGTTTATCAAGAAAATCTGCCTATGTGAATAACATGTTTTACAAGACTAGGTTTTTGTCATCTAAGAACCCTAAAACTCAACATTTCAATTCTCTCCCTCAATGCTCCTAAAGAAATATTGAAAGCCACAGCCTCCCAAAGAAAAAGAAAGGTTCCTAACAATCAAAACTAACATGATGCGTAACGACATTGGAAAATGAACCTTCACTATCGCAACTCGCAACCAAGGACATCTAATAATTCCCGAATCTGTTATGTATTATTGAAGAGTTTGTCACATTTAAGTTAACTGCGCTTTTAACTGCACAGTTATCTTCAAGAATTCATTTGAATGCCTTCCCGATTGAAGTTTTAGTTCAAATTTGATATGAGTAAACTAGACTTAATGAATAAGATTCTAAAAAAAAATCATCAAAAAATTCCACCGGGAACCACCCCAAATGGCGTTAGCCGGACAGAGCATCCTAAATATAGTCTTATTTGACATTTTTTTTCAAGTTCGATGCCCTATCTGACTCTTATACCGAATAATAATTATAATTATAAATGAATTCCAAAAGAGTATATACGATCTTGCAAGAATTGATTATTTCAACATCTGGGATTGTGTACCAATTTTCCACCAGATGGGACCCTACAACCTTAAAGTTCAATTCCATGATGAAATGACTGAAATGCCCTTTCAATGACCAGAGACATAATTGTCGGTAAGACAATTATTTATGGACAAAGAAAATGACAATAAAGACCCCACAGAACACAGGAACAAAACAATATAATGAACGATGAAAAGCCCTTAGCAAAACAATCAACAGACCAACCAAAATGTTGAAAAGGAAATAAAGTTGGATTGATATTGTTATGCTTGAGATCTTACCATGGTGAGGACCTAGTAAATTTGGCATTATGAAACCAGACAACTTAAAAACATATGCTAAAATGTGATATCATGTACTTGTGGAGATGTGGACTCTGGCACGAAAACGAAAGTACCTTAATGTTTGCTGTAAAATTAAGATTACTCTATAATAACCACTTCATGTACATTAAACAAGACCCTCAGAATACTCCGTCTCTTCTAACTTTGTTAAGTTTGGCCGGCACGTGAAATACAAACTAAAAAAAAGTGTGATTTATGTTTCTATAGAGTAGAGAGAGAAATGGTAAGAACCACAATTTAATCGCTTAAAAGGAAAAGTTATAAAAAATTTTGAGACAACAAAAGGAAAAATACAAAGTTATAAGGGACGGAAGAAGTGGTTTCTTAGTGTTGTAAAAAATGGCCTAATAAGCCGCCTAAGTCCGCTAGGTATCTTTAGGCTAACTCACTCACATGCGGGTTAGGCGCCCGATTACTTGCCCTTAGACGGGTTAAGCGCCTGATTATGTAGGATAGGCACCACATCTCCACGACTATAGGTAATTCCCCTTTTCGATCCTCATCTTCTTTTCCACTTTTGGTTCATGACTATAGATCTTTTCTCTCTCATAGTCTTTCTAACCACTTAGCTGCTTATCTGGCCAATTGCGATACAACTTCTCGTTGATTTCTATGAATAAGTGAATCATAGACATGTTAAAACTTAAAAGTGATTTTAGCATGTTCTACATTAACTTCCATCCAAACAACTTTTTTCTTCCGCATTCGTATGGGTTAACCACCCCAAAATCTTTTGGGAATAAGGCTTGGACGTTGTTGTTGTTTTTTCTTAAACCATAGTTGACCAACCTGTTGTTGTACGGGTTAACCGAATAATTATAAAAACAACATTTTTATGTATACACCGGAGTTAACCTAGGCTCGCCCAATTCTTACTGCTCACCAGATTTAATTAAGTAAATTTCCTATGTATGTTGGTTTAGGGCGATTATATTTCTCTATAACTTTATCAGCACTAACAAAATCTTTAAAAATAATGAAGTTGCAATTTCAAAGTCATAATACTTTCATCCCAATCTGAAGGTCTGGATTACAAAGATTAACTGGAGTTGAAAATTTCTCTTTCCTGATAATATTTAAATTAATATTAGTAATAAAATTTTGGACATTTAGAAACTATTGAACCACAAAAAATATATTTGAATATGAAAAAAATTATATCTATAAAATAAGAGGATAGAAGAGCGATTAGTTGACGGCTGAATACTGATGGACTTTCTAATTGGGATGGAGTATCATTATTATTCCATAATGAAAGCAAGAAACAAAGCTTTACCATATTCTTCCTTCATTGTTAAGCCATTTGAGAGAGCCATTAAATTAATGAAGCTGTTGGTTGGTGAATGGCTGCTTGAAAGCCACTGTTGGAGCAATTCTGACACTCCTCCTCTGATGTTCAAGAACCAACTCCCCAGCAAACCACTCCAGCTTCTCCAAATTGCTTTGCTCACTAATCCTCTTTCCTCCAAACAGAACAGACTCTACATTTTTCTGTTTCAGCATTTCATCTGCTATCCCCACCAGCCGTTTGACGTTGTTCGGGCTAGGGTCCGTGTCTAGGTTCACCCCACAACTACCAGATGATGTAGGCCCATTAGCCTGTCATTAGCATTGTTTTGTACACAATTAAGGGCTTAAACCATTCATTGATCACTTGAGTTTAAAAAGGAGGGTGAAAGTTGACTATCAACACCCCAAACCAATTTTTATCATTTAGTATTCTATCAAAAAAGGGTAATGAGTAAATCCATAGTTCAAGGTTCAACCTAAGTTGTTATTTGTCCCCATCAGCATTCTGATATAATTGCAATAACAGCCATATAACTAACTTTTCCTTTTAACTTTAAGCCATATAATTCCGGTTCATCCAAGTTTAGTTTGGTTTGGCCTTAACTAGTTTGGTATTCAGATGTTTTGCATATTTTGTTATTATTTAAATTTGATCTGATCTAATCTAATATGGGTTGTTCTTGATTTTATTGTCTATTATAGTTTGTTCACAAGTCCAGGTGAACTGTTTCTGATTAATCTAAATATATGTAAAAAGTTACAAGTTTTATTCAAAATTGATTTTTCTTCATATTTTTTAAGACAAAGCAAAGCAAAAAAAGATACTACGTAGTAGTTTACTTGGCATTTTTTACTTCCCCTGCCATTTTCGGAGTTCCTAACATATCCTGAAGAGGAAATCAAAACCAGACTTTCAACCGGTTAGGTATATCGAAGGGAAGAGCTGATAAGGGAAAATTAGCTGTTACAAAGTTTTACTTTACTACGTATATTTTAGTCCTCTGAACTCTAATGCTAATCATTAAATAAAGAGATAAGACTTTTTTTCCATAAATCAAGAAGGGATTAATGCCAGGGTCAATAATAGTAGTAGGGCAAGTACATGTTTCCAATCTAAGGAAAAAAAAAGCACAACTATATTGGAATAGAGCAACAAAGTCTATTTGTTTGGGATGCAGTATTGAGTTAAATGACAAACCAAAATAGTAAAGTAGGATAAACTAGCCCCAAAATGGCTCATTCCAGCTCATTAAACTACAGCCTTTCCATATTCTGCTAACCATGTTCTACACCTATGAGAAAAACATGATTACCCTTTCCATTCCAAACATAGAAATGTCAAACTTCTTACCATTGCCCACACTGTTTTTTCCTTTCCCCTAAATAAATAAATTAATAAATGCTTGATGCCACATTTTCACGCTTCTCGACATTAATAAAGAGTTTTGCACTAAACATTAACCTCTGAGTAGTCCATAGTTTTTTTTCCAAAAGTAGTAAATTAAATTAGAAATTCGCCTGGCAGAAGTTGCAACAATGAACCGAAATAACCCATCTACTTTCATTTTGATTTTTGAGATTTTTTTCTTAAATCCATTGACCAAATATATTCAACCATTTTTTTTTAAATTAATTAATTAATGATAAACATCTACTAAATAAATGGAAAGGGGCTCTATATTGACAAGCAAAGACCATTTAGGTCCGTGTGGCATGACAAATTTTGACCAGCCGATAGAGACCGTTGTAATTATATTGATTTTTATGATTTTTTTTAATAATTTGTAAGATATTAAAAAGTTAATCTAGTAAATCCTTAAATAGGATTAAAAAATAACCTAATTTCACGAATAGGAGTGTAGTTGTTTTTCTTCTCAAAATGGGACTTATTCACCCATATTAGGAATTTTTTAATATGAAATATCTATTTCTTCTAATAGAGATAATGAATTCTTATTTTGGAGAAAAAACATTACTAATGTGTTTTACCTTTATCAATGTTTTAATCATATTTGAGCAATTTCTTTAATCCCCAAGGCCCAAACAATTTCAACCAGTCATTTTTAGCAAATGGTTTGACTTTTTTTTTTACCGCGTATGGAACAGTGACTTACCTGAACGCGGACGTAATTGGTGGTCCGTGACTGGCCGAAAGACATGGCCACCACGTGGTCAACCAAGTCCGCCGAGCCGTCGCCGGAGATGCGGGCCATCGGTACAGCCCATTGCTTCGCCTTCCACCCTTTGACTTGCTCGTAGTCAAAGCTGCCTTCCAAAAGCTGCCCCGTGCCCAGCGAAAGTACCAAAATGTCCTCCACGCCTCTCACGAACGGGAACTCCTGCTTGTTGTGGAGCACGTGCGTGATCGCCGCCGCCGTCGGGTTGCTCATCGCCAGCCCGCCGTCCACCGCCACGCACCGGGTCGACCCGTCGACGGAGCTCATGCACACCGGGTCGAACACCCCCGGCTCCGCCGACGTGGCCCGGCACACCTCCCATAGCCGGAAGTCGTAGCTGTCCGTCTCCAGCGCGTCGGCCCGGGAGAACAGAAACGGCGCCGTACTGGAGAGGTCGTAGCAGGGGATGAGAACCGGCTTCATTGTGTCTTTCAGGGTCAAGCTCCGGCCGGTCTTTTCGTCCTCAAACGCCTCTTTCATTGCCTTCTCTAGCCGCGCGGTGGCGGAAACCGTCCCTCCGCCGCCGCCTCGGAAAACCCGCTTGACTAGACCGCCGGTGCCGGAGCTGGAGCCTTTCGAGGGGTAGAGCTTCCTCCCCTTCTCTGCCAAAAACCTCCACGTGTCGTCGGCGTTGAAAATCGGGCGGCGCCCGTCCTTCGTCGCAAACAGCATCGCCGAGAAAATCCCTCCGACGCCGGAACCGGCAGCGACGTCAAAATAATCGGCGATTCTGGCATCTGGGTTCCCGGATTTCACCTTCAACGCCTGCTCCAGGTACGCCAGAGCTTTCCCCGGGATGATACCCCGCATTCCGCCGCCGTCAATCGCCAGAACACAAATTTTCCCCCTCTGGTTCTTGATTGCTTGCACGTCGTCGTTCCCTTCGACCTCCGGCAACCTGGGAATGACCTCGTTCTTGTCCTCCGGGGAGATAGTCTCCGGAATCCAATGCTTCTGATCATCATAGCCGAACAAAAACTTGCTCTCGAGGATAGAAAAGATCTCGTAACTCAGCTTATCCGTATCTATGCTGGGCTCTTGAACATTCCGATAAGAACCCGCCATTTCCCGAAACTTCCGCAGGAATTCAGAGCATTTAATGCATGAACCAGATTCCCAATCAAGAAAATTTGAAGGAACAAAAAGAATCCCCCTTTTCACCCAAATCAAATACCCATTTCTCTAAATGAACAGTACATAAGATATGCTGCTGAAGAAATGAGAAAAAGGGAGGTGGGAAGGAAGGAGAAGAAGATGATGAAGATGACAAAAGGGTGGCAACAACAAAAGGCAGAGGAGTTGCCGGGCATGTCTGATAGGAAGACGCCAATTGTGTTAATTATGCAAAATTTTCGTAATATATGGGTAATAAATCTTCGTGGGTCTCTCTTCTCTCATGTCGCAATCTGCAGGTGTTTGTGTACGGCACGCCTAAACCCCACAGGGAAATGGATGGATTTTACAACATTTCGGCTTTGCACCTGTGGTTTTTGTGTTACTTAGATTAATACCTCTTTATTAATACTCATTAAGTCCTATTTACAAGACCTTATTGTTCAAGGATAATAATTAGCCAAATTCAATCACACTGAAGGTTGAATCCCCAACTTAAGAATCCCACTTGAAGACGACAAGATATACGAGAGATTGTAGATCAGAATAACCTAATCAGTTCAATAGTAAACTTTGTACACGTGTGCACTATACGACCAACCCAGCACACATGAGATGTAATCTCCACAAAGGCGATGTATGTTTCGATTCTTAGTCATTCCTTCGACTTTCCCACAACTCGACTAACTAAGCTACCAGAGCGGGTAGTTCAACCCTACTTAAGTATTGTACATTTAACGTGGATACATTAGAAATTTAGAATCCTCCTAATTCGCCAAACCTATTTAGGAAGAAGATAGTAATAAATACTACCTCCGCCTCAGCTTAATCTTTTGTAAAAAATAACACAATTATTTAAATTATACATAGTAATTTAATGAGAACAGTTCTAGTGAGAACTCATTTAATATGAGAACGCTTTATGATGAGATCTTTTAATTACAACCTTTCATTTTATTTCATTATTGGTAGGATGCACATGAGATTCTTTGTATAACAATTCAAAATTCAAATGAGGTATTTGTAATTTTGTAAAATTGTTACAAAAACGTCACTTTATTGATTCTAACCCTAAATTTGAAATATGAAATGGGGAGATTTGTATAAATGTGTTCTCAGTTTAAAATAGATTCTCATTAGAACTCTTTTCTAATTTTTCCATTATTCTTCTAAACTTATTTTAGTATTTCCTCATCCTCTCCTAATTAAATAAGGTATTTTGAATATATTTTGAAAAATAATTTTGATAAGTATATAGTATTATGAATCTATGATGTCATCGATGATTCAATGAAGTAGTTACAAGTGAGTTCGAAAAAATGAAGTACTTATAAGTGTATTATTATTGAAGAGTGTTAACATGGCAAGCTTTACCAATGATGATTTACTAAATGAGATAAGGGGTGTTTGGAACTGATTCTGCTTCTGCTTCTTTTTTAAAGCAGAAACAGAATCAGAATCATTTTTCAGAAGTCGGTCACCCCCAGCTTCTAAAAAAACTGATTCTATGAGTACATTAAAGCACCAGAATCACTTCTGCACTTTCACCCAAACACTCCATGTCACGCCCCAGATCGCAATCCAAGCGCGTGTACAATCGCCGTATAATCAAGTGACGTCACCCGCGAGTCAACCTCACTTGATTACACAAGGCGTTCGAGAAAAATAATCCATCCATACTCAGTAGTAAACATACATAACAACATCACATTTAAACCAATGAATAGCGGAAATATTCAACGGTAAGTCATAAGCCACAACCGGCCAATAACATGGGCATGCAAGCCCCAAAAGAATAGTTTATAACAAATAAAAATATCCATGAGCAATGTTTGGTAATTTGAAATAAAATGAGGAAGCACGAACCACGTCTTCCTTGATTTGATGTCACCCGTAGAAAGGTGCAGGTAGCAAGCCCTAGCTTCAACCTGAAAATGGTGGGGCCCCCGAAGGGGTCAGTACAAGTACCGAGCGAGTAGCAGGCTAAATATAGAATAACTAGCGTTTCAAGTATAAGACCCAAACATAGGATGATACATATACGTATAGTCCTTCCCCCAAGTTTGAAATACATATTAGTATACATACACTTGGAAATACCCGACCCGTAGGTCATTGTTTATTTGGGAAAATAATAGTAGCCAATATCCTTGACTTAAATCCCAACCCACGCATATACCTATGAGTGTATAGAACTCCTCCTTGTTCAAATAAATTATCATAAGGACACCGCCCGGTCCTAGATCATTAAATGTAATCTATGAGTTTTGAGGATACACGCCCGATCCTTGGGTACTCCACCCTATAACCGAGTTTTGAGGATACCGCCCGATCCTTGGGTACTCCACCCTATAACCGAGTTTTGAGGATACCGCCCGATCCTTGGGTACTCCACCCTATATAACCGAGTTTTGAGGATACCGCCCGATCCTTGGGTACTCCACCCTATATAACCGAGTTTTGAGGATAACCGCCCGATCCTTGGGTACTCCACCCGACCTATGACTTACCACATATCACACTAGATAGGGTCTATATCATATTTAGTCATTCATAACTAATTCAATACATAAAACTTATGTATCACATTCCATGCAAATCCATGCAACCATATAAATGTATAATTAACTAATATCAACCGATATTAATTAATCCATTAACCATCGGTCAACGTTGTTGTTGACCGCCATCTCAAGTCTTACACTTATTAACTAATTCATCATATAATTAAGTTAATAATATCCGTTCGTGCTTCTTTTACTCTTAAAGCAAATATGCATTATGTATAATTTCTCATATCATATTTCATGCATAAACAATTATTCTTTTCATACGCCCTTAACTATGTTAGCTAATCACATGTTTAAATATCTTTTGAACATCATTATGAACACATATAACATTTATTTAGGTAATCTCATAATTGACCCAAAAGTTATAAGATATTAAGCCGTCCACTCACCTTGAACTAGCGTATGAAGTTCTACCCTTCTTGGTTGAACTCCGGTGAAACTCCGGCGACTTTTGGTCAACTCCGGCGACAATTCCGGCGACTTTTCCAACTTTGTGAAATCACTTGAAACACCCTTTACAAGTTCCTAACAAGGTTTTATAATCATAAAACCCATGTTAATACCAATAACCTCAAAAAGGTTATTTTCCGGTGAACCGGTCGTTTTGGCTTCTAAGTCCGTTCTTGGACATAGAACCACCTTCCAACCCATAAATCCATACTTATAACATGTGGAATCATACTAAGGGTCCTTTACATGATATATACCTCATATGATAGAAGGAAAATAAAGGAAAAGTTATAATAAGGTTACTACCTTAATTTTACACACTTTTCCTAGCCTTTTTCCTTCTTTAATCCCACTCCTTGGACCCTTCTTGGTTGAGCTCGAGTTGCAGCAATGGAGGAGGGTTGGAGAGCTTTTTCTTCCTCTTTCTTGGGGTCTTGGGCGAGCACAGTGAGGAGGAAGGAGGGGGATGGGTTGTTTTTGTCTCATTTAGCTAATAAGTGAGAGAGGGACCCCTTGGGTGTCTCTCAATGTCTCACCCTCCCATCATGTGTACTATTGGCCTTCCTTTGGTCAATTTGAGCACACAAAAACGTGGGGTGGCCCCCACTCATGTGGGAGGTCATCCCTTTGTGTCCCGGTGTGTACAATTGATCCCGAAAGTTGTATTTTTCGGACTGTTTTAAATATATTTTATTTTATCGGGTCAAATAAAATATATTATGTGCTCTTACTCATTATAACATGTATAATGAATATATATTCCCCAACTTTAATTTATAAGCCCCCGAAATTCAGTTCGGGTTGTCATCAGTTAAATTACCAGTACCGGTAATTTGGGCTTCTTTTGACCAATCGGTCAACTCCGGGCCTTTCCATGGCCCAAATGAAATATCCACCAATATATATTTATTATCTAGACCAAGATGAATAAAATATATGGTCTCGGGAATGTCGGGCGACCCCCGCTCCCGGTGTGGGTCCCACGTGCAATTTACTATTCACGCGAAAGAATTAATAAAATTTTACAACTTCGTAAATTCATTAATCCTTTGATAAGGTTCAATACATTATTTACGTAAAAGTAAATATACTTGGGGACGGTGTTACAAGTTCACCCCCCCTTATTTGGGATTTCGTCCCCGAAATCCAAGTATCTAATCGAAAAGAAATGGGTATTGCTCCCTCATTGAGACCTCGGTCTCCCAAGTTTCTTCTTCGACTCGATCGCTCCTCCAAAGAACCTTTACCATAGGAATCTCCTTATTCCTAAGCTTCTTCACTTGTTGACCAACAATCTTCACTGGTTCCACCGCATATTGCAAGTCCTCACGGATCTCTACCGGTGGTTTCTCAAGAATATGAGATGGGTCTCGTACGTACTTCTTGAGCATTGATACATGAAACACGTCATGTATCTTCTCAAGTTCAGGCGTCAACTTGAGTCGGTAAGCCACGGCCCCGATCCTTTCAAGGATCTCAAACGGACCTATGTATCGGGGGTTAAGCTTCCCCCTCGATACGAATCGGATGATGCCCTTCCAAGGAGAAATCCTTAGGAAGACCTCATCGCCGACTTCGAACTCCAACGGTCTCCGCCGTTTATCAGCATAACTCTTCTGTCGGTCCTGAGCGGCCTTCAATCTATCCCGAATGATCCTCACCTTGGCCTTGGTGATCTCAATTAGCTCTATCCCTTCGAGTTTGGCCTCGCCAACCTCGTCCCAACACAACGGTGTTCTGCACTTCCTCCCATACAATGCCTCATATGGAGGCATGCCGATACTTGCCTGATAACTGTTGTTATAGGCAAACTCCACTAGGGCCAAATGCTTGTCCCAACTTCCTTGGAACTCCAAGGCACATGCCCTAAGCATGTCTTCCAAAATCTGTATCACCCGTTCGGACTGTCCATCCGTCTGTGGGTGAAAAGCTGTGCTAAACTTCAGTTTAGTCCCCAAAGATGCTTGAAACTTTGGCCAAAATCGGGATGTGAATCGTGGATCCCTATCCGAGACAATGGATATTGGGACTCCATGTAATCTCACAATCTCCTCCGTGTATAGTTTGGCCAATCTTTCAAGAGGGTAAGTAATGTTGATAGGCAAAAAGTGTGCACTCTTGGTGAGCCTATCAACCACTACCCAAACTGCATCATAGTTGTTCACTGTTCGTGGTAGCCCCACCACGAAGTCCATGGTCACGTGCTCCCACTTCCACTCTGGGATGGTGAGTGGCTGCAGAAGCCCTGCCGGGTGCTGATGTTCTACCTTAACTTGCTGGCAAGTAAGGCATCGACTCACATACTCTGCGATGTCTCTCTTCATACCTGACCACCAGTAACTTTCCTTCAAATCTCGGTACATCTTAGTACCTCCTGGATGCATAGCATAAGCTGAAGAATGAGCCTCCTCAAGTATAGACTTCTGGAGTCCCTCATTCTTTGGTATGCATACACGATCCTTAAACAATAATAGACCGTCATCACGTACTCGGAAGTTCTCAACGGGCCCTTCAAGGATTCTTTCACGGATCTTCTGACATTCCTCATCAATGGCCTGACTTCGACTAATCTCGCCCAATAGGGTGGGCCTAACCTCAAATTGAGCAATGAGAGCCCCGCACGCGGACACCTCCACGCGTGCCCTCAATGCCTGCAGACAAGTAAGTAACGTCCCTGACGTACCCTTCCTGCTCAGTGCGTCGGCCACTACATTGGCCTTTCCGGGATGATAGTTAATGATCAAGTCATAGTCCTTGATCAACTCCATCCATCTCCTCTGCCTCATATTCAACTCTTTCTGAGTGAATACATACTTCAGGCTCTTATGATCAGTATAAATGTGACATGTCTCCCCGTAGAGATAATGTCTCCAAATCTTTAGTGCAAACACTACCGCCCCTAATTCTAGATCATGGGTAGGGTAGTTCACCTCGTGCTTTCTTAATTGCCTTGAAGCATAGGCAATCACTTTACCGTTTTGCATCAGTACACATCCAAGCCCTTGGATGCTAGCATCACTGTAGATATCATACCCTATCCCCTGTATGGGTAGGGCTAGGACTGGTGCTTCGGTAAGTCGTTTCTTCAGTTCAAGGAACCCTTTCTCACACTTGTCGTCCCATATAAACTTGGCCCCTTTCTTTGTGAGCTTCGTTAATGGGGACGCCATTACGGAGAATTTCTCAACAAATTTACGATAGTATCCCGCTAGGCCAAGGAAACTACGTATCTCTTTCACATTCTTGGGTCTCTCCCATTCCATGATAGCTTTTATCTTGGCGTTATCCACAGCAACGCCCGAACCGGATATGACATGACCGAGGAAACCAATCTCCTTGAGCCAAAATTCGCATTTAGAGAACTTGGCAAAGAGTTGCTTTTCCCTTAGCCGATCAAGTATAAGCCCCAAATGATGTTCGTGCTCCTCCTCGCTCTTGGAGTATATTAAGATATCATCAATGAATACTATCACAAATTGATCTAAGTATTCACTAAACACACGGTTCATCAAGTCCATGAATGCTGCCGGTGCATTGGTTAAACCAAATGACATCACAAGAAACTCGTAGTGACCATATCTAGTGCGAAATGCACTCTTAGGTATGTCACTCTCCTTGATCTTCAACTGATGATACCCCGACCTCAAGTCAATCTTCGAGAATACTATGGCCCCTCGAAGTTGATCAAACAAGTCATCAATCCTAGGTAAGGGATACCTGTTCTTGATGGTGACCTTGTTCAACTGTCGGTAGTCGATACACATTCTTAGTGTACCATCTTTCTTCTTCACGAAGAGTACGGGTGCTCCCCACGGTGAATGACTGGGTCTGATGAACCCGTTGTCCAATAATTCTTGTAGTTGGACCTTCAACTCTTGAAGTTCGGCCGGTGCCATTCGATAAGGAGGAATCGAAATGGGTTTGGTTCCCGGCTCCACTTCGATTACAAATTCAATCTCTCTATCGGGTGGAAGCCCCGGTAGGTCCTTGGGAAAGACGTCCGGGTACTTGCACACGACTCGAACATCCTTGATGTCGACTTCTTTCTTCGTATCATCTACCACATAAGCAAGGTATGCGTGGCATCCCTTCCTCATCATCTTTCGTGCTCTCATCACGGATATGATACAAGCATTAGATTTCCCCCGATCTCCCTCGAAACATAGCGTGTTCCCTTGATCATCCTCGAGCTCCAACACCTTGGTGTAGCAATCTACCCGGGCATGGTGTTTCTCGAGCCAATCCATCCCTAGGATTGCATCGAACTCCAACATGCTTAGAGGTACGAAATCACAAGTCAAAGGTTGACCCGTCACTTCTACCTCACACGACGGATAGTAATGATTTCTCTCCACGTCGTCTCCTAACGGTGTGGAGACTAGCAACGTTTGAGTCATAGGTGTCAATGGCACGTCAAAGCCCTCGGCGAACGCCTCACTCACAAATGAGCGTTGTGCCCCAGTATCGATGAGGATCCTCGCACACCTACCATTGATCTTTAATGTTCCTACATTTATACACCATGTAAGATACATTTTCTAATGTTTTTACACATCTTTAGGAGGTTATTAGGCTCATACTAATGTTTGGAATCAAACGGGGGTCCAAACGTAGAAGAACGGGGCGAAAAAAATCAATTTCGGGTGTTGGGGGTCCACGCACGGCGTGCCTGGGTGGCACGCACGGCCGTGCGTGCAACAAACTCTCCCTGCTGGCCACTGCCGGCCAGGCACGATGCCAGGCACGGCGTGCCTGTGGCCGTGCCTGGCCAAAAATTCTTCGGACGCCACTGCCTTCCAGGCACGACGCCAGGCACGGCGTGCCTGAGGCCGTGCCTGGCCCAAATTTTTTTTTGTTTTTTTTTCTTTCCTCTTCGGGTGCCACTGCCTTCCAGGCACGATTCCAGGCACGGCAAGCCTGCGGGCGTGCCTGGCCAGCAGTGGCTGTTTCCAGCCCGATTCGGCCTAACTCACCCGGTTCGACCCCGGGGTGGCCCGCACTCAACCCCAACGACGTATATGATCAAAGTAAGCCTAGAAATACATGGGAATACGCGTATTACCTGCAACGGAGTCCGGGTTTGCTCTCGCATCCGCCTCGGTCATCGCGTAGACTCGTGTTTGGGTCCCGCCTTGGTTTACGAACGCGGCATGACTTGTGGATGCGTTGCCTCTTCCCGTACCGCCGTTTGACGGGCCCGCACGGTTTCTTCCCGTCATGGTCCCTCCCCCGGCTCCCGAGGCACTCTCTTGCATCAATTGAGGGCAATTGGCCTTCATATGGCCCGCATTCCCGCACTTAAAACACCTCGGTGGTTCATTGCACTTCCCAAAGTGTTGTTTTGAGCAATTGGGACATCTAGGTGGCCCCGAGTTCTGTGGCCTAGGTCCGTGCCACCTCGCATCCCTATTCTTCTTTGCCGGTGGAGCCGGCGCCTTGAATGAACCACCGCCACCACCACCACCCCCGTGGTTGTTCCTTCGAGAATGATCGGGTGGCCCCGAATTATTCCACTTCCTCTTCTTCGCCTCTTCGGCGTCCCTTGCTTTCCTCTCATTCCACTGGGCCTCTCCAAGCATGCCCTGCTCTACCACCTCACTAAAGGTCATGAGGCGGGAATACGTGGCACGATCTCGGATGTCCAAGAGTAAGGCATCCCAGAAGTGCTCAGTCATGCGGTCCTCATCGATCGCATACTCCGGTAAGAACCTAGCCAAGGTCCTAAACTCTTGCTCCAGTTGCTTAACCGTGCAACCCTCTTTCTGCTTGAGGTTGGTATACTCCCTCCTTTTCACATTAACCTCGAAATCGGAGTAGTATTGAGCATAAAATTCCTGTTCAAAATTTTCCCATGAGATGTCCCCACGGTATTTCCCTTCTACACCTTCCCACCATGTAGAAGCCATCCCCTCAAGTAGCCGTGAAGCGACAGTTAGCTTCACGTCCGGAGTAATCTGCATGTCTCTCGATGCATCCTTCACCTTCTTGATCCAATCGGCGGCAACGGTAATGTCGCCGGTGCCGTCGAAGGACCTACACCCCAAGGCCCTAGCCTCCTTGAGGTATTTGGAGATTCTTACTACAAAACCTCCTTCATGCCCACCTTGTGGCGCCGCTGGGGTGGCCACGGAAGCTCCCCGACTCCCTTGACCCGAACCACCACGAGAGCCACACCTTGCCTGGCGCCTAAGGTCTCTCCTCAGCTTTTCTTTTTGATACCACTCAAGCAATTTGCCCATTTGAGCGAACTTGGCATCACTCTCTTCGTCGTCATCATCGGTGTATGTGTCACCCCCATCATACGGGGTCTCCTCATGCTCCGTTTCCGGAACGTAGGTTGAGTCATAGTCCTCGGTGTTGGTTTCATACACCGAGCTTACATGGCCATCACTCACAGTTTGAGCTTGATGACCTCCACGGCTTCCACGGCCTCCACGGCCTCCCCTTGAACCCCGAGATGCAGCCCGGCTTCCCCTTTGGGATGCTACCGGCGTCTGCCCCCTCGGATTGTTCCTGGTTCCCATTCGCCTGCCCTCCATTTCTGAAAGAAATATGGATGAGTCATTAGACTCCTATAAATGTCAATTGACGGAAAAACGTCACAGACACGTATTGGCCCAAGTCACTACCATACCAATTGTTAAGGGTACCGTCTTAACAATTAGAGGCCTTGCAACTTAAGCACCAATAGTCCTATAAACGTCAAAATACAATGCTCATGGTTTTCGATAAAAATTCTTTTGTAAAATCTTTTGTGAGAGGTTGATTATATGGTTTAGAAATGAGATGGCTCTGATACCACTTAATTGTCACGCCCCAGACCGCAATCCAAGCGCGTGTACAACCGCCGTATAATCAAGTGACGTCACCCGCGAGTCAACCTCACTTGATTACACAAGGCGTTCGAGAAAAATAATCCATCCATACTCAGTAGTAAACATACATAACAACATCACATTTAAACCAATGAATAGCGGAAATATTCAACGGTAAGTCATAAGCCACAACCGGCCAATAACATGGGCATGCAAGCCCCAAAAGAATAGTTTATAACAAATAAAAATATCCATGAGCAATGTTTGGTAATTTGAAATAAAATGAGGAAGCACGAACCACGTCTTCCTTGATTTGATGTCACCCGTAGAAAGGTGCAGGTAGCAAGCCCTAGCTTCAACCTGAAAATGGTGGGGCCCCCGAAGGGGTCAGTACAAGTACCGAGCGAGTAGCAGGCTAAATATAGAATAACTAGCGTTTCAAGTATAAGACCCAAACATAGGATGATACATATACGTATAGTCCTTCCCCCAAGTTTGAAATACATATTAGTATACATACACTTGGAAATACCCGACCCGTAGGTCATTGTTTATTTGGGAAAATAATAGTAGCCAATATCCTTGACTTAAATCTCAACCCACCCATATACCTATGAGTGTATAGAACTCCTCCTTGTTCAAATAAATTATCATAAGGACACCGCCCGGTCCTAGATCATTAAATGTAATCTATGAGTTTTGAGGATACACGCCCGATCCTTGGGTACTCCACCCTATAACCGAGTTTTGAGGATACCGCCCGATCCTTGGGTACTCCACCCTATAACCGAGTTTTGAGGATACCGCCCGATCCTTGGGTACTCCACCCTATATAACCGAGTTTTGAGGATACCGCCCGATCCTTGGGTACTCCACCCTATATAACCGAGTTTTGAGGATAACCGCCCGATCCTTGGGTACTCCACCCGACCTATGACTTACCACATATCACACTAGATAGGGTCTATATCATATTTAGTCATTCATAACTAATTCAATACATAAAACTTATGTATCACATTCCATGCAAATCCATGCAACCATATAAATGTATAATTAACTAATATCAACCGATATTAATTAATCCATTAACCATCGGTCAACGTTGTTGTTGACCGCCATCTCAAGTCTTACACTTATTAACTAATTCATCATATAATTAAGTTAATAATATCCGTTCGTGCTTCTTTTACTCTTAAAGCAAATATGCATTATGTATAATTTCTCATATCATATTTCATGCATAAACAATTATTCTTTTCATACGCCCTTAACTATGTTAGCTAATCACATGTTTAAATATCTTTTGAACATCATTATGAACACATATAACATTTATTTAGGTAATCTCATAATTGACCCAAAAGTTATAAGATATTAAGCCGTCCACTCACCTTGAACTAGCGTATGAAGTTCTACCCTTCTTGGTTGAACTCCGGTGAAACTCCGGCGACTTTTGGTCAACTCCGGCGACAATTCCGGCGACTTTTCCAACTTTGTGAAATCACTTGAAACACCCTTTACAAGTTCCTAACAAGGTTTTATAATCATAAAACCCATGTTAATACCAATAACCTCAAAAAGGTTATTTTCCGGTGAACCGGTCGTTTTGGCTTCTAAGTCCGTTCTTGGACATAGAACCACCTTCCAACCCATAAATCCATACTTATAACATGTGGAATCATACTAAGGGTCCTTTACATGATATATACCTCATATGATAGAAGGAAAATAAAGGAAAAGTTATAATAAGGTTACTACCTTAATTTTACACACTTTTCCTAGCCTTTTTCCTTCTTTAATCCCACTCCTTGGACCCTTCTTGGTTGAGCTCGAGTTGCAGCAATGGAGGAGGGTTGGAGAGCTTTTTCTTCCTCTTTCTTGGGGTCTTGGGCGAGCACAGTGAGGAGGAAGGAGGGGGGATGGGTTGTTTTTGTCTCATTTAGCTAATAAGTGAGAGAGGGACCTCTTGGGTGTCTCTCAATGTCTCACCCTCCCATCATGTGTACTATTGGCCTTCCTTTGGTCAATTTGAGCACACAAAAACGTGGGGTGGCCCCCACTCATGTGGGAGGTCATCCCTTTGTGTCCCGGTGTGTACAATTGATCCCGAAAGTTGTATTTTTCGGACTGTTTTAAATATATTTTATTTTATCGGGTCAAATAAAATATATTATGTGCTCTTACTCATTATAACATGTATAATGAATATATATTCCCCAACTTTAATTTATAAGCCCCCGAAATTCAGTTCGGGTTGTCATCAGTTAAATTACCAGTACCGGTAATTTGGGCTTCTTTTGACCAATCGGTCAACTCCGGGCCTTTCCATGGCCCAAATGAAATATCCACCAATATATATTTATTATCTAGACCAAGATGAATAAAATATATGGTCTCGGGAATGTCGGGCGACCCCCGCTCCCGGTGTGGGTCCCACGTGCAATTTACTATTCACGCGAAAGAATTAATAAAATTTTACAACTTCGTAAATTCATTAATCCTTTGATAAGGTTCAATACATTATTTACGTAAAAGTAAATATACTTGGGGACGGTGTTACACTCCAGCTTCTGCTTCTGCTCTCTGAATGAGCAGAAGCAGTTATAAGAATCAGATCCAAACACCCCCTAAGTTTAAAATTTAAGTCGGAATCAAGGGAGAAGTACATAGCGTGTTGATATACCTTTTTTAAAATATCACGTATTATTTTGAGAGTGAGTTTTCTAATCTCATCTATCCATTAGTTGATCATCAATGGTCAACTATTTACAAAAAAAAAAAGGAAAATTATTATTAGCCCTTCAGGGTATGTCGTAATTATTAATACAACCTTTCATTTTCAACATCAATCAGTTACCCCTTGAGTTTTCATCTTTCTCACTATATGCCCTCTCACATTAATATTTGCTAAATTAAATTTAATATAACTCTTATATTCAATGAAAATTGTCAATAAAATGAATTTATAAAGCGTAATACAATTTATTATCACAATTATAAATTATTGTTGTTGATCGTTATTTTTTTTATCTACCTAGCTCCCCGATCGTGGAATAACTATTAATGAGAATTGTTAATTAAGGGAATGACCCACGAATAATATCATGGAATACATCAAAGAAAGTTGTTTAAAAATATGTTTTCAAAATTCAAGGCACTTCTATCTTCGTTATGGAGTAGCTCATCATAATCATCATTACCCCAGTGTCGCAAAGGCTCCCCACCTACGGTTGGATAAAGGGAGGTCGGATGTACGCAGTCTTACCTCTGTACTAAAGCACAGAGAGACTGTTTCTGGATGACCCATAATGAAAATCACGTCCAAAATTGCATGGACGATCCGTTGCTTCATTAGTTCATAACAAAGAAGCGCAGACAGTTTAGTGAGTCATTTTGCTTTATTCCATCATATTCTCAAGCCAAAAAATAGTGAGTCTTTGGCTCCATTGCAAATGATGAAAAGCCACGATGGAGTAGCTAAGTAGGAAAAAACGACAAACAACAATGACTTCTAATATGATAACAATTGGAGCTTTTACTTTAAAAATTAATTTTATGGACAATTTTCATTGAATTTAAGAGTTTTATTTAATTTGATTTTACAAGGGGGGATGAGAATGATCTAAACTCAGGGGTAACTAATTGGTTTTTGAAAATGCAAGGTTGTATTAATAATTATGACCTAACCTCAGGAGGTTAATAGTGATTTTCCCTACAAAAATGTAGGGGTATCTGAAAAGAATGTTTTTCTGTCCTACTGCCGTTTTAAGACGTTGAAAGTTAAAAAAAAACTTTCGGTATGAAATAACTCAAAGTGTTCTTTTATGTCCATTCAACTTTTCAAAAGATTGTTATTTAGAATCTACCTAAATAATACTCCCTCTGTCCCATAAAATAGTTTTCGCATTAACTTAGATTGGAGTTTAAGAAAGTGGGAATAAAGTGGAAATGTGTGATTGTGGTTGATTAACAAAAAGGTAAACGAATGATAGCCACAAAAAACTTTTCAAAAGGAAAAATGAGAACTATTTTTTGGGACGACCCAAAAAAGAAACGGTGAACTATTTTGCGGGACGGGGGAGTACTAAGTACTTCCTACTTCGTATTTTTGTTTAGCAAAACTCCGCATCTTTTGACGATTACTACTGTGAAGGTATTTTGATTTTAAAAATTGACATCTTGTATAAATATATAATCTGGAGTAGACAAACCGGCAGTTTTTTTTTGTAACACGGCAGAAAAATGAAAAGCATCTTGTTTGTGGAATTAAGAACAATTCTTTTCGGATGCCTCGTATAAACTATAAAACACACTTATATATTGCTAAAATAATACGTAGTACTACCTAATAATAATAAGGGAAAATTAATTAAAATACCCCAAACTTTGAAGAAGTGTGAGATAAACACCACAAACTTTCATATGTAATTTAAATACCTCAATCTTTATATAAAAAGTTATTTTAGCATCATGATCATATATTATTTTTTTCAAAAATATAAATTTATGATGTTAATTGCATAATTTAAAGTGACAAATTAAAAATGATGCAATTATATAGAGTGGGGGTAGTATTATTTATTTTATAATCGAAGTTTAGAATGGTAATTGTATCTTCATGAATGCTAAAATATTTTAATTTATAAATTAACACAAAAAACTAACATTTTTTAAAGAAATAATATATGACCATGGTGCTAAAATAACTTTTTATATAAAGTTTGGGATGTTTAAATTACATATGCAAGTTTGAGGTGCTTACCTCACACCTATTCAAAATTTGGGGTATTTTAATTATTTTCCACTAATAATAATAACAAAAATGCTTCTTGTACCCACATTAGTACACACCCTTGTACACACTATAAAAGAGCTTAATTTTTTTTTACCTCCCTTCCATTTTTTTACCCCAGAAATGCTATACGTACACACCCCCTTACACACCCACTTACCCCCTTTATATACCCATTTAAATTTTTTTAAAAAATTTGCCCCACCCACGTGCCCAGACTAAGTCGGTTTGCTCCCTTTCACAGACAGTGCAGCTCGATTATTCTGTCTCTTTGTTTGGCGGGTTCCTACTCGTTTTTCTCCTTTCTTTAAACACACAAGGGAGGTAAGTGACGGTCTTCACCTTTAATGGAGCCGGATGCTTCAAACATGTGTGAATCAAGTGATGTCCGTATTTCATTGCCGACGGGGGAAGGAAGTCCCGGAGACGGCTTAGTTTGTAGTGACGTGCCGGTGGTCGGCGATGGAGACGGCGTAGTGGGTAGTGACGCGCCAGTGGCCGGCGATGGAGAAGAACACAGTCAAGACTATACGGACGTCGTTGATGAGCAAGGTAGTTTTGCTTACGTTTTCATTCTTATTGTATTTGATTCAAGATGAGTTCATGATGTGTACTGTACTGTAGAAAGTTTTTTCATCACACAGACAACTACTAAATGCAGTCCCTGTGCCCTTTTAAGTTTGTTAAAGATGCCATGTTGAAGTTCAATATAAGTCATTTGTCTGTGTGCAGACAACTACTGTCCGTATTGACTGAAAATTATGTGGGTATGTATTGTGTGTAAACAGTTATGTATTCATTTTGTGGAAGAGTTTATTGTTGATGTTATCACATTTGAAGTTGTTTAATTTGTTTTATTGAAGTTAAATCTTTGTCTGTATACACAATACTGTCTATTTCAACATCATCGCCTCTGTATGTGCATTGTACTGTCTGCATGGGTCGTTATTGTCTGCATTGACACTTTTTTTGTTGGCATGGACACTTTTTTTTTCTGCATGGACACATTTTCGTTGAAAAGTAATTAATAACAGATTTAGGAGGACATGCTAAGGAAGGAGATGTTGGGTGTGTACAAGCACCCGAAGTTGGCATGAAGTTTGATACAATAGAAGCTGTTTATGATTTTTACAAGAAATATGGTAGGAGTTTAGGATTTCCGGTACGCAAAAGAAGCTCTACCAAGGACAAAAGTGGAGAAAATGTAGTGGCAGTTGTATTTGAGTGTTCACGTGCGGGAAGTAGATGTAGCACGGGACAAAATGCTTTGAAGCCTAAAGCTTCAATGCAATTGGATTGCTTAGCTCGCGTAAGAGCACGAACAACTTATGTTGGTTCCTGGGAGATTTCTAAAGTGGAACTACAACATAACCATCCTATGAGTCCGACAAAGTCTAGAATATATCGGTGCTATAGGCAGGTGACAGAACAAATGAAGAGAAAACTAGCAATTAATGATGTTGCGGGGATACCACTTTATAAGAGCTTCAACTCGGCCGTTGTGGAAGCGGGTGGATATGATGAGCTTCCTTTTATTGAAAAGGATTGTCGGAACTACATAGACAAAGTTCGGCAACTTAGGCTAGGAAGCGGCGATGCAATGGCTATCCAACAATTTTTTGGTAAAATGCAAGCTCAATGCCCAGGTTTTTTTTTACCGTTGACTTAGATGAGGAGTCACGGTTGAGGAATGTTTTCTGGGCCGACAACCGGTGTAGGTATGCTTATAAAGATTTCGGGGATGTCATCACTTTTGACACAACATATCTTACAAATCGCTATGACATGCCATTTGCCCCCTTTGTGGGCGTTAATCACCATGGTCAATCAATGTTGTTTGGTTGTGGATTAATCTCAAATGAAGATACACAAACTTTTGTATGGCTCTTTAAAGCGTGGCTTGATTGTATGCATGGGTGTGCTCCAAAGGGTATTATAACAGACCAAGACCGTGCGATGCAAAATGCAATTCAAATTGTCTTCCCAAATACGAGACACCGTTGGTGTTTATGGCATATAATGAAGAAGCTCCCAGAAAAAATGGGAGGTCTGACCGATAAAGATCTTATAATGTACAATATACATGACCTAGTCTATGACTCACAACACCCTTC